ACAGGCCATTTAACCTGCTCAGAGTGTCTCTCCCTCTCTGCACATTTCCTTGTAGTCTGCACTTAGTCACAAAGGACTAATAACAAGCAGTCAACACCTTGTCTATTTTTATTGTGTCATAATGTACTAACAGTGTATAATTTGACATTAATAATAAAAAAATCCTGATTTAATAAAATAATTCTAATTTAATAAGTGATTACATTATGATTTTGGTGGCATTTTTTAAATGAAATATGTAATAATGTGACATATATTAACATATAAACTCATGAGGCATCTGTTTTAATGAAACTACTATAACTCATCTCATCTTCATGTGTGGCACTGATGCACACAAATGCTGCAACACAATACGTTATATTACATTATACATTATTATTATACATTATATATACAATACTATTTTATACATTACTGGTAAAATCACATATTTTATTATAATACACACACATTCAAGTGTCATGCACAAAGAAAATCAAAGCTGTTTAATCAATCTGCTCATTTACAGTGTTTATGTTGCTGAAATGCTCGTCTGCATCAATCTGCTGTCTCTGGTAAACAGCACTGGCACCATAATACTATGATAGAAGTGTTGTTGGAGGAGGGGATGATGAGGAAGATTAAGATGTCCATCTGTTGCAGAGCAGTCAGCTCAGTTCAGCATGTGGAGCTAGTGATTATTATGATGCTTATGCCAAAATGATTCTATAATTGGAGATACTGGAAAAAAGATAATGGATTAGCAAATTCAACCTTTGTATAAATACCAACACACAGTCTAATAGAGTTCAGCAGTATTCAGCTGGGAGAAGGAGAGTAAATACAGCTGAGTCAGTGTGGTGTTTACAAAAGGTCTAACCCTGACTGACTGACTGACTAAATAACAGTAACTGACTGAATGAAATTAGTTCATCTTTGGACCCATCTAAAAAAAGACCTTTAGAAAAGCAATAATTCTTGTTACTTTGATTGCAGTAAAAACCTCAAAAAGAAAGTCACCTTAAGAGAAGACTACCAGCTAGGACTTTGACATCAAACCTTCCCTATGAGCTCATCTTGCTACTATATATATTTCCTTGGCATGATTACTTTATGTAACTTGTTAAACTTTTTTTATATACGTATATTTCACTTGACATAAGTATTTAGAAATAAATTTCAGTTTTCAAAGTCTTGTCTTAAAACAATAGCCAGACAGACATATGGACAAAAGTTTTTGCATGTAAGACATGGATGACAAAATCCACAGCCCTCGTTCTATGCATATAAAATATATTCCTTCAGTTCATACTTATTCGATTCCAGAGCAATTTCAGTCTACATGATGGGGGACACAATCTACAGTCCTCGTTCAGTGCAAAAATACTTTCCAAAGTAAATCTGATGATAGGATGAGGCTTCAGCAGTCTGAGATCAAATCAAAGTTAAAAAGACCATAATTCTTTGTGTTGCTTTCCCTCCATCCCAGGAGGGGGAAACACAAAGAGGGAATTTTTGACTTTGGAAGATATCCACTTGATTTGACTGTTAAAGCCTCACATTAACTTCAGATAATAAGAATAATAATAATAAAAGCACAAGGGACCTCCATGGTGTGGGTAGTACTTTTCCATTGTATTGAAGACTTCATATAAATCTAAGTCCATATAGATCAATTCTTCACACTTCTAAGATTTATTTTATCTGAGATATAGAGGTTGAACACTGGGCTATTAGTGGGTTTATCCAAAATGTAGGTTCACAAACGTTTTGGACATAAATGTGTAGTATAGTATGAAAAAGGATTGGGGCAGACTACTGTGAAAAACAAATAAACGAAAAAAACTACCTATCTCTATCTGACTTTCTTTTATTAAAACCTCATATTTTACATAACTACTTGCAAAGTCTCTTATCCACATTTAGCTTTCTGACTAATATCTGTGATTAATGCATACTTCCTGTAGCAATGGCCTTCTCAGATCTTCCAAACCTTCCGTCTTCCTCTCTCATCCCTTAATCCGGCTCCTACGGTGCTTACCATATCCATCTCAGTGTCCTTTTAAGATCCAAACTCCTCTTCTCCCCACTATTCTGTCGCATTATCCTCCCTTTCTGATCTTCTGCTCAGTCCCTCCAAAATAATCCTTTTTTTTCATACCCACTTGACTCCATCACACTCATTCTGCCAATCCTTCCCCTCGCTTTCCCATTCCTTCTCTGCAGAAAGGTTACACTGAAAGGTTAAGAGATTGATCACTAGTCTAAGTAATTAACAAAATAATCAAGGACAGTTGGATTAGTAGGAGTTACTTTCATTATAAGTAAGGCTCTTGGAGCTCCTAAGACACAACTGCTGCCATTATAACAGAACAGTTTTAGAGGGGAAAGGAAATGTAGAGGAGTCAAGTTAAGGTGTCCTCCAGTGCTGCTTTGACTGTACAGACTGCCTGTCTTTGAAGACTCGTTTAATGAACTGACTGACAGATATATATGGCAACATCAATGACTATGTGACACCCTCCTTTGTCTAAATAAAAAGCCATGGGTTTCCAAACAAATCTGTTTTTCTGGTGTAGAGAACAAAGCTGCTGTCACAGAATTAAAAAAGACGTGGTGAGGCAAACCTCTAGGTATACGATTCAGTCTAAATTCAACCGTAATAATCTCAAATTTAATGAAATGAATGCCAGACTCATGATAGGGGTAATAACATAATATCACTGGGTGGTTTTACTTTGAAGCAGCTGCCAGATGACCTGAAAAGCTTTTATCTGAGCGTTAATACTTTTATTATACTCATCTTTCCCTCTGAGATTGGAATTTGTGTGATCTTTTCAGGCCTGCTCCTACAACTGACATAAATGCAAAGTGCTGCAACTCTTTATAGAGAGACGATGGAAAGTTCAGGATTAGACAGTATCCGTGGTAGGATGCTGGAGTCTGTGTTTTCCTGCATTTCTTCCTGCTGGTGTCAAAAGTTTTTATTTATCAGGAGTGGTGACTTTCTTTTGGCCTTGATATGGTATTTATTTGAGTTTTATTTTGGTTTCATTGTCCTGTTTGTGAAATGTTTTAAGTATAATTTGTTTTATGTGCTTTTATGAATATTCTTAGCCTTGGCTGCAAACCAAATTTCCCTCGGGACAATAAAGTTGAAGTTGAAGTTGGGGACTCCAGACAGATAGGCATCAGATAGATTTTAGACCAACAGAGGCAAGTGGAGAGAAGGAAAACACTGGTCCAACTGGGAGATGAGATCAGACTTTTCCCAGCCAACATTTACCCAGCTTTCACACAGAGGGAGAGCTGTTTTCTCCTGCCTCTTATCAGCTCATCCTATTATAGTTTCCCTACATTACAGGGATAAAGCAGCGCTTACCAGCACTCAACCTGCCTGTGTAGAGCAGAATAAAATTTAATGTGAGAGGAAGACAGAGACCCTCATCCCTTACCTACTCTCTCTCTCTATATATATATATATACCCTCAGTATCAATTGTAATAACCTTGGTGATCCTCTTTTCTAATATAGAGCCATCGACAAGTCAAAATATTAAGTCGTGACCAATGCTGCAAAACTAATGACCTTCCCATCAACCACAGCTGTACTTTGTGTTTAGTGCTAATTGGCAAATGTTAGCATAGTAACACACTAATCTGAGATTGTGAACATGGTAAACATGTTGGCATTTCACTCGAACTGTACGAAGTCATGGATATATAACATGAAGAACAATAATCTTAATACATCCACGGCTTAAGTAGAGCTAGCATTGCTGCAGACTAGTCTTTTTGATTAATGTATTATTGTTATACTGAATCTGTGAGGAGTAGTGTGTTAATCACTAAGCATGGCAAGTTAACTGTGTTGAAAACTCCACCCATAAAAGATAAATCAGGCTTATTGAGATGCACCTTTTCAGTTAAACATACTGTTGCTAGGATCATCCCCTACTGGCACAGTTCCATAGCAGTTGCAGTTTAACTGACATTGTTACATCCACCAATTTTTCAGTTAATGTACTTTAGTGACTTGCTCAACAACAGCACAACACTCTGGAAGTGCAAAACAGCACTGCGCTCTATATTTTAGCTGTGCATTTGTGTAGAAAACCTCCCCACAGGCTGAGACGATGAAACCAGAGCAGTAATCTCAAACTGGAACCTGATTTGCATAACGATTAGAAGACCCTTCCTCACCCAGTAGGCATGGATCAAGCACCCATGTCAGTAGTGTCCCCGCTGAAGTGCCGTTGAACAACACACAGAACCTCATTCCAGCTCCAGGATTTCTGACCTTGAGCTCTGGAAAGAGGCAACAGGAAAAAAACCAAAAAGGATGACCATGGCAACATGATAATTGCTGATATAGGGCCCCCTCTTCTGGTAATTATGTAACAATGCAGTAGTTCTTTAGGCCCCGACTACAGTACTTTGATCTTTCAAAAATTCTGTTTATGAAATAGATGCTTTTCATCACTAACACAAATCTGATTTCCACAAGAAAAAAAGATAAACTAAACGTGTGATTCTGACAAGACTTTGATGCAAAGAGGAGTTTGATAGGAAGATAAGATTATCTTTGAAGTCACTCTCACACTATCAGTAATGAAAGGGCATATTTAATTTTAAAGGTCCCTGCCATCATGTACTCACTGAGAATTTCCTGTATAGTTCCCTGAACTTTAGTGACATCAGAACTGAGTCAATTCCTCTCCTTACTTGTGGCAGGGATGTTTAATTTTTTTATTGGTACTGGATCTCAAGGGCATTCGATAGAGGAAAAGCATTTGAAACAGATGCTTCTGGAAAAATGTGGATGGGGGTTGGTTTGAAGGGAGAATTTAGGAAAAATAAACCCGTCTCAATTATCACAGGTGCAACCTAAAACACATCACCGATGCAGTCAATGTGTTGCCTCCATGTCTCCTTATTAATTAAGCATTTTTGTGATTTTGTTAATTAAACCAGTGAACTGCTTACTCAAAACAAATAAAGAGAAAAGCTGCAACAAAATTACCAGCATTATTGGCCTTTTAATAACAACAATAAAAACTGTCCAGAAACCATTGTGGTTTTTAGCCTAAGCAAGCATGTACAGTAGTAGGCCAGTAAAAGTACAATACAATCTGTAAATACATATAAGTGAATAATACAATAAAAACAAATCCAGATTGGACAGAAGATTTAATCGAAATAGCTGAGGTCCACTTGTAACCGCAACTTTCTGCACCTGTGTTAATGCATCCATGTGAAGCAGTAGGCCTGGACAATATAAAATTTAAGGAGAAATTGCTTGGTTAAAATCAAAAACGGTGGTCCTCACATCAGCAGTTAGCTGTGCTGCTTAACATGAAATTTACTAACCAGCATGAGAAACTGTTTTCAACTTAAACTGATGGATTTAAATGTAAAGTATTATCAAACAATGGCTTTCAGCTCAAATACTTGTGCAAAACCTACCATAAGGAAGTGATCACAGCAAATAAAATTAAAAAAAATAAAACAATGTATAATGGAAATAATGTGATGGGAAAAAGAATTTTAGTAAGAATTTATTTTGAGTAAGGTGTCAAAAACCTGATACTTTAAACAAAAACTAACTTGAAATGACATCCCTGTCTCAAGCCACAACCAAAATGTGCCATTAGCCTGTACGCTGCTAAGTCTTCACCCTCACAGCCAGGAAGAATACATGATCAGTACATTCAGTGGATTTGCTAGACTCTTCTATGGATAGGCCTCTTACCGTGCAAATATCTGTAGTCCAAAATAATAAAACCAACTTAAACCTTCAAGTTTTAAGTGAGCGTTTGCTCCACTGAATCGCACATCCTAGCTTTATAAACATTTTAAAACACAGGAGATAAGGCCACTCCATTTGGGATGGAAGTTCCGCCCCATTGGTCCAGGCTGGTCCAACGTCTGTGTCCTCAGTCAGAGCTCCCTTGCGTCCTCAAAAGGCGGCTGTTTGGCAATGTGGTTGAAATCCACTGGGGATGGTAAATGTAAAACACAAAAACAACCTGATGGGTACGAGTCCAGCATTTCTGTGGTTCAGTAGGGGGCCACGTCAGTAGTTACAGATTGCTACAGACTGTTATTAAACTCCAAAAGTCACCAAAAGTTCAAGTGACCAGCCACTCTGCTGTCAGTCAAACAGACTGGCAGTTAGGGCTCCCTGGAATACATATGGCCAGGTTGTGTTAGCTTATGTAACAGGCTGTCTGTGAAACAGGTCGTCTGACAGACTTGGACAGACCGTTTCATGTAACCAGGCAAGCAGTCAGTGAGCGAGGGCGCCCATTGTTCTGTTGTTCAATCGTTGAGGTGACAGTCACACAGCTCCTTGTAGATCCTCTTGCGGATGCGAGGCATGTCCTCCTGACTGAACAGCAGAGGCTGCTTCACAGAGAGACAACGGCAGTACTGACAGACCAAGACAAGAAAGACGGGCAGTGAGGGAAAACGATCTACAACCACAGCTAGGCTTCTATATTAAATGCATACAATGACAAAAGCTTCTCTCCCAGCGGCTTTCGCCCCTCTGGAGACAAGTAATGATCAAATTTGTGTAGAAACCTGAGCCAGGAAAGACACTGGAGACACAGCTCTACTTTATTTCTTTTTCTGAGCAGGAAAAAGACAGATAAAGCAAAGAGAGGGGACAAACAGGAGACTAGAGATGTGGGAAAGAAAAAAAATGATAATGATGAGCTGTAAAGGTGGGGAAAAATAATGTCTCACCTCAAGGACAAAAACTCCACAGTCACTGTCATTTTTCTGCTGAGGAATACCCTGAGGAGTCAACAAGTCACAGTTAAAGCTTCTGGACTGAACAGTTCATGTGTCCATATGTATGCATTTACTGTACATACATGCAGCTATATTGGATGTTTGTTCACTCATCTACATTATTTTTTATTATCTTTACCATGAAACATGCTTTCTTTAACATAATTACATTACAATAACATTGCATTGCTGAGTCTTCTGTTTATTGTAATCATCTTGGCAATTAGAAGGAGGCTTCCACTTTTTGCATTTGACTAACACCCACTGTGCCAGGTAATATTAATGTTTTAAGGACACAAGGTGAACACAGCATGTGAATTACTGTCAGCACTCGAGGTTACCTTGATGATGGTAATCTTCCAGCCTTTTTGGAAAGCCGTCTGTTTTTTCTCTCTGGCTTCAGACAGAAGATACTTCATAATGTTCTGATAGGTAAACACACATAGAGGATAGAGTTATGCTACAATGAAACTGGTCCAAAGAGCAAAGCATTGTCCCAGCAGCAAAAATGTCAGTACTTCCACAATTCCACTGCAAAACAGCAAACTCATTTCCTTTTATGAATGTTCAATACTTTCATCAAATATTTTCAACAAGCTTCAATTTCATTTCATATTCCAGAACCATCTAAACCATAGATTGTATATAAATATGGACGATGTGACAGCTCCCCAAAAGCCTCCTGGCGGCTGGCTCTTCATGTTAGCGGAAATCTAAGTTAAATTTTTTCCCCGAAGATGATTTTTGTCATTATGGGTAGTTCTTATCACGCTGATGTATCTTCAAGTTTGATTTTATTCGTTATTTGATGCTATAAAAAGGGGGTTTCATATCATAATTGACAGCTGAGCCCTTTTCATGACTGAGTCGGGTGTATGGGTCATAAATGACATCACCAGTACAAGATGGCCACGCACATATCCAAGATATTTAGGATTAATTTAAATTGTTTTTTGTTTTGTTTTTTAAACATAGTATTAGTACTGAAGTCAAACTATTTTGTAACACTTGTATAAAAATCTGAAATGTCCTGTCCTGTTTGTCCCGAAAATTAGACTAAAGCTATAATAGCATAATAAAACATTAAATAGCCCTGCGGATTGTTGTGAAACGTTCTTTTGGTGCTGCACACAGATCGCCACTCTCCGTTGGCTACAGCAGGGAGCGTAGGCCCTAGTCAGTCAGCGTTAATGATGTTCTATCTCGGAAGCAGTTGTCATCCACAGGCTCACCCCAGGGTGTGTCCCCACTACTGTATCTCCTATATACAAAGGACTGTAAGAGTCACTAGATGACAGGCTTCTTCTAAAGTTTGCGGACGACACGGTTTTGCTCCAGGATAGAGAGGTCGCCCATGGGCCAGTTTTGAACGACTTTGTTGAATGGTGTGACCACCACAAGTTAAATGTCCTTAAAACTAAAATATGGCCATAGACTTCGGGAAAACTCCCCACTCAACCTCTCCAACAATAATCAAGAGCTCACCTACTGAGACAGTGGAGTGTTACAAGTACCTAGGAACAGTGATTGACAAAAAATTGAACTTTGACCTTAACACCTCTGCTGTCTACAAGAAGGGTCTTCAGCGGCTTCATTTTCAGCACAGACTGAATACCTTTAATGTGGTCAAAACTTTAATGACATTATTTTAGTTTTTTTATGTTGCTAGACAACCACTGAATAACCTGCTCTGTCAGTTTAGAATCAAAGATTGTAGCGCCAGCAATCTGTAATCCTTGGTTTGCCAAAGTAATAACTGTCATATTTGCAGAAACCTGATCACAACTCACAGGTCTGTCTTTTGTTGCTAAAAACATCTGTTTAATAAAATAGACAAACGAAGGGCACTAGCTCTGGCACTGTTTGAGGGTGAAAGGTTTACAAACACACAGGAGACAGGGAAATGGAGATCCTCAGAAAGGTGAGACACCGCTGGTGGTACCGACCAGCTGGTCCTGAAGATTTGTCTTCATGATGGTTGGTTCAAGCCTTATTTTAGGATGACACGGGGACAGTTTGTTGCAGTCTCCAGACAATCCAAGCAACTATAAACTTCCGTCACCACAACTGAGGGCGTCTCTCCATTCATTTGATTGGACAATGCAAAAAAACCCTCAAATGACGTCAGGTGTTTTCTGCCCAGTTGAATTTTTTTCAACTCCGTACGCTCAGAGCGCTCCTTCGAAATCGCAAGGTGCCCAAAATGCGAGGTGCCCAGGGTGCATAAACAGCACGCAGAACGCTCACTGCCGCCTCGCACTGCAAAAAATGTGTTCTGTCTGATCCGGGCCTAACATTGTTATGGTAGCCAGCAAAATAATTGCCACTCAGCAGTTCTCTTTGGCAGGCATCTATAATAGACAAGTTATGCGTAAGGTCCGGACTATCATAGCCAGCTCTGACCACCCTCTTTTAGAGGAAATTGTTCTTCTCCCCTCTGGGCAGATACAGATTCCCCAGGATACAAATTGACAGATACAAATTTATGCCCAAAATATGCACTGACCTTGAGCTGCTGCTCAGAAGCATCCTACAGTGTTGAGGCTACCATTTCAACTCTTTGGGTACTTTCAGACGAACAAATACATGTTGTACACAGTAACAGCTGTTCTTGTTTTGTTCATGTCTCATGTACATTTGCTTGTGTTTCTGTTCTTTAACCCTATTGCAAATCAAATTTCCCCTGGTGGGACAACAAAGATTGAATTGAATTGGGACTACAGGGTATCGTGGACACTACAGCGTTGTTATAGCCAGACACAGCATGCCTGCTCTTTTCCACTTTTTGTTTTGTTGTACAGATAATGATAGTAGAATTTGCAGCAGCATGGACAGAGGAAGTGTAGCTGCAGGCAACCACGGCGAAGGAAAGATCTGACACAGACAGATGTGACAGAAACTGCACTGATGAAATGCATGTAACAGATTGTGATTTACACACTTTTACATACAACAGTCATTATGTTTCTCTTAACAGTCATTGAAACAAAAATAATACATATTTTAGCGTTAAGTTAAGATTTTTCATGTATTAGTTTTACTGTTAGTTGACACTGAATGTAATGTACTGGAGGCCACGCCTACTCCCAACTCCCGAATTTTATCTGTTCTCATCTGGCCACCCTACCCACAACCTAAAGACATCAACATAGAGGCACTCACATCCGTGGTGTGTCTGAAGACAATGCCTTGGCTGTCGTAGTAACTGATGGTTTTAGTTGCCATGGTGACCGTGATGAGAGACCAGTGGATTTCTAAATGGATGGGAATTAGCAAAAGCCACTTGGAGAATAGGTCGACCTGAAACAATCCCACAAATTAACATACAAACAAATTAGATATCCAAGATTCTAAATGCAAGTTAACTACAATAACCCATACCCAATTGGGTTGTATAGAATACAAATCTGATTATGAGGAAATAATTGTATAATGCGTGACAAAGAAATTCCAAAAGCTACACTTCAGGACAAACATGTTTATCATTTCTGTTTGACACAAGATCTCCTTGCATGGCTAAACAATAAGGTGTTTGGAGATGGTGATTTCAAGAACTACTGAAAATATTTCACACAACATAAATTTTACTTGTAGTTAGCAAACTGAATTCACAGCAACTGGGCAACTGCTGCTGCCAAGCCCTAACTCTGAGAGGCAAATTAAAGTGCAATTTAAAGTTAAATAAAAGTGTAGTTGTTACATTAAGGCTTAGCTATTAGCGATACTGTCAAAAGACCTGAAAAATGGCAAAACTCCAAACTGTTCCATCTTCCTCCTTACTTTTTTAGTCCATCTCTTCACACCGTCATAACCCTTGGCAACCAGCTGCTTGTGGAAAAAGCTGTTGAAAAAATGAACCTGAGAAATAATAAAAGAAATTAGCACATTACAAATTTCATTTATTTATCTATTAAATAAAAAAACATGTCTACCGAAATTATATTCTATATCATTTTGGACATAATGGTATAGAAATAGTAAGCCAGGTTAAAGTGTGATGAAGAGGTTTTGGAGACTGATAAAGACTTACACAGCATTTGTTTATTGAGCTCGGCAGGGGAGATACAGTGCCAGTATACAACGTGTGAACAACACATGCAGTGCCAACGCTGAATCTGAAAAATACTTTCTGTCTGAAGATATTTATCTGACCTATACCTACAGAGACTTACTAAGTGGGTAAATAAGATTATTGTTCACCCATCTATACAAGTGTGAAGATCCAGTTAGATATTGGCTTAAATCAAGACACTATGCTTACCTAAGCTAACCTACTGTCACGTTGTGTGTCATTCAAGCCACATGCAACACTTTCAGCATAGAGCCAGTCATTCTCTCTGTAATTAAGATAATCTCGACCTTGGGTTACCTAACAAATGGACAGTGCATCATTGTCAAGGCAGCTGCGTCACACAACCAAGCAGGCAGAGAGGAGAGATAGAGTCTGACTGATTGTTCTGAAGAATCACAGGCTGTATTTTAAGCATTTTAAGCCTCCAAACACACCCTCACTTACCTTGTGTTGTGTCGCCTCCATGATGAGTTCTCCATACATATTGATAATCTGAACAAACAGAAACAAAGAGAGAAGTTTCAAAAGATGACTGTCCAACATAATAACAATAATAAATGTCTATGAAGATTCTCAGTCATCCAGGTCATAGTTATCCAATGAAGGTTAAAATCAAGGGCAACTGGACTTGGTTGAAGATACTGGAAGACGTTTCGTCCCTCATCCAAAGGACTTCTTCAGTTCTGACTGACTGGCAGGGAAACTAAGCTATTTAACCTCAGTGGGCTATTTAACCTCAGGGGGCACTTACAGCCTGTGGATACCCTAAATGGACCTTTGTGAAAACAGCCACAAGATCCAAGAAGAACAAAACTACAGGGGAGGAGGAAAAGAAGGTCAAACGCAACAACATTGTGATTCCATACGTGTCTGGAGTATCAGAGAAACATAACATCCCTGTGTTTTTTAAACCCAAGAACACACTAAGACAGGTACTGGTACACCCCAAAGACCGCACACCCAAACACAAGAAAAGCAATCTAGTGTATGCGGTCCAATGCAGTGAGGACTGCACAGACCTGTATATTGGGGAGACTAAACAACCACTACACAAACGCATGGCTCAACACAGAAGGGCCAACTCCTCAGGTCAAGACTCTGCAGTCTACTTACATCTAAAGGACAGAGGACACTCGTTTGAGGACCACCAGGTGCACATTTTAGACAGAGAAGATGGATGGTTTGAAATAGGTGTCAAGGAAGCCATCTACACCAGGGTTGAGAAGCCGTCATTGAACAGGGGAGGGGGTCTACGCCACCACTTATCCCCCACTTACAATGCTGTCCTTTCATCACTTCCCAGGAAACTCAACAAACGTAACCTATTGGCCTCAGGTGAAGATACCAACGAGGGTCGTTCAGTCTTGGCCACAGGTAGTCTTAACGACTGTAACGACTGTCGTCACAGCAACAAGGAACACTAAGGAACCAGCGGTATCGATGACCCGGGCCAACGACCCCACTGAGGTTAAATAGCTGAGTTTCCCTGCCAGTCAGTCAGAACTGAAGAAGTCCTTTGGATGAGGGACGAAACGTCTTCCAGTATCTTCAACCAAGTCCAGTTGCCCTTGATTTTAACCTTCATTGGATAACAATAATAAAGTTTATTTATACAGGACTTATCAAAACACAGTACAAAGTGCTTCATAGAGACACAGAGAGAAAGATGAAATGAAATAACACAGTGAATAATAAAATACATAATGTTCAAAATAAAATAAAAAACAAAATAAGAAAATTAAAACATTACAATAAGGATAAAGCAACCATGAGGTCACTGAGGTCAACTGGCAGTGCACAAAACATCTCAGGCTTAAGTGTGACAGTGGCAAGAATGCTTTTCTGTCGCTGTATAAGCATTCATCCTTCTTTACCTGGTCATTAAGCCAGTTCTGTTCCTCCAGGGTGCCTAGGTCCTCTAGGCCCAGGGTGTGTTTGTTATATGTCACCATGAAGCCTGCAATAGGAGCAGAGGCCAGCCCCGCCCTGTACCGAGTCACCTCCCCTTTGATGTCCAGTTCCCTAAAACAAAAACACCAAGAGGAGAAACGCAGTAGAAATTTTATACAAATCATCAAAAGTATTTATCAAAATCTTCAGACATTTAAAAGAACAATAGGGAAAGTGATCCCACAAGCTCAAATAGTAAAAAAAACATTCCAAATTAAGAAAGGATAAAAGTCGTCACAGAAATTAACCTCCTGATGTTAATTTAGGCACCTCTGCTTCCAAACAGATCCTTCTGAATACCTTAGAGTAATCTGGCAACTTGCTTTTATTTGATATATGATACACATACATGTTATCAAGAAATAATCCATGTTTCTATTTTCTATTGATGAATGATGTAACACAATACTGATTTAACCTAGACAGATTTTATATCTACTGTTATTAAAAATAAAACACACGTCAAGTCGATCGTAACTGCAAAAATCCTCAGCAACCTGTTTTTAATATATTCTATAGTTCATTGTTCATGTTGGAAAAAATCTGTACATTGGCTTCTATGTTAACCTTACCACAGGGGTGCCGGGAAAAAAATGCAGGATCCTGTGGCGAAAGGTTCAAACAGAACCAACTTCTTGAGAAACGTAACCCGACGTCACACTTCAGTGGCCACTCACATAAGCTAGCAATCGGACCAGGTCAAACTGCTCCACAGTCAGCCTGAGATATCGCTGGGTTCTATCTAGGCTGAAATAATCTCCCAAACGATGATACTCAGCTGTGTGCTCATTTGGTTTATTTATTTATTTTGTGTACCCAGCTTTAACTCATGCGTCTGGCTTGCAAAAAATAGCAATACCAATAAGCCTCCTTTGGTTTGTGTCGATTTGTTTGAGAGCAAGATAGTGAGACAGCGAGCAGCGCTGGTTGATCGAGGTAGCAGTGGTATCGAGAATAAGAGAAATCAAACATTATTTTTTGATTATTTCACAGCAGTTACGTACAAGCCTGTGGTAATCGAAGCAATGCCTGGTTTGGTGTGAATACGGCCTTAGTGCTGAAACATACTGATAAACCTTGAGTTCAGAACAGGTGTGAACAACATGAGATAAGTGAGTTAGCATTCAGGCAACTGATACTCTGTGTAGTAGAGATCTAATCTTTCCACATATTGGTAAATTCCAGATTAATACTGAAACAGGTGGATTCGAGCAGATTGTGTGTGTTTGTGTGTGCGCAAGCTAACCTGTTGCTGATGTCAGAGTTGCCTTTCTTCTTCAGGTATTCGAGAACATCAGACTCACTGAGAGGAATGAAACCGCCGTACTTTAGGTAGAAGCTCTCCAGAAACTCTGAAAGAGAGGAAGCAATTTTCACTGAATCATTTCATATATGTCTGATGTTAAAAACCTAAATTCACAATACTGATTCTGAATCCATTGCTGAAAATCATAGAACTTTAGTTTTATCACATTCAGGCCTGTGGGCTAATAAATACAAGCAGTGTTACAGTTGTGTGGATTTAAGTTATATACACACTGCTCATATTTGCACATCCTTTACTTTGTCACTGAAATAGGTTTTTGCTTTACCTGAAAATGTTAAGGATGCCAACAAGATTCTGTCCCAGAACAACAACACAAAACCTTACTCTAAGATGACAGAAATATGTGTGCATCAATGCGCATCATTTATTAATGTTGTCACTTGAAATTGTAAAAAAGAAAAATTAAAAACAATCCCCATTTCTGATTCCTGATCGATATGTTCTTCCCCATGTGAGAATCAAGGTTGATCTTGAATTAGATGTCTGTCCTAAAAGCTATTTTTTGCATTATGCTAGATGAGATGATTAAATTGATGTTTTGAAAACATAAGGTAAATGTTGAAAATACTTCTTCTACCAATTAAGCATTTTCCCTACATCGGTGGTGTTTAAATTCATAATTTCATGACCATGACAAATAATGAAAAGAATTTGGTATATCGTCTGTGTAAACTGTGTAAATCTCAATTACACATAAATGTCGGTCTTACCCAGGAAATTCGGTTCTTATTTTGGAAATAAGAAAAAATCCCATAAAAGTTGTTAATTATGCATACACACAAAATCAAGTCTGTGTGTGTTAAGGTCACATGCTTTATGAATGTTTTATGAACATCATATGCTCAAGCACACATCTTACCGTGGACCATATCAGTGAGCTGCTCCAGGCTTTCTTTATCCTGCCTCTTTCCATCCATCTCTTCTCCATCTTTGCCCCACACTTCTTCCATCTCCTTCTTCTCCCAGGTTCCAGGCTGACAGTACAGCCTGTGGTCTCTTAATGCCGAGAGGTACTGTGAGCTGGATACTGTAATAGGGCCATGGGACGGAGGAGCTACTGTAGCTGGATAAGAAGTTTCCACCTCCATAAGTGTGGAGCAGTGGTTGTCATTTGTTGGTGTGGCAACGTCTCCGTTGGACAGAGTTACCGGTGCAGACACTGAGTCCATTCTGTCAGGAGTTTGGTCCACCTGCATCTCAGAGTCCAGGTCCTGGGGAGATTCTGACCTTAAAGCAAGACCTGACTGCTGTGAGACAGACAACAGTCCATTTTCCATTCCACTCATGATCATGTTGTTCTCCCTCACCTCCTCTTCAGGTTCGGTGTCGGACAGGTTTACAGTGTCTCCATTTCCAAATGATTTAATTGAGCTGGGGTCAGTCTGCTCTCCATGGTCCATCTCTGCATTTTTGTTTTGCCCCTGCCTCTGCACAAACACTAATCGAGGTGATGCATATGTTTTAAGTCTAATGACACCACCCCCTAAACCGCCCCTCTTTATTCCATCTTCAGCTTCCATTTTTGATGCAGACGTAACTCTCACAATTCCCCTCCCTCCTCTCCATCTACCTCTAACTACTGGTGACCCCCTGCCTGCCATTCCCGACAATCTCATCTCCACATCCTTGCTATCACCACCTCCACCACCAGCAACTCCTGACCCCTCTATCAACATGTCTTCCTTTTTTTGCGTATCACCTTTGTCTGGAGCAACATAGTTCCTCATTGGTCCATGCTGCAGTGAGACTGTGGCAGGGAGGGCAACAGTGGTTTGTGGCTGAGTATCAGTCACTACTACAGTCGTCTGCACCTTCTCATATCTGTCATCTTCATTCTCTGCTTCCTCTACCTTTTCCTTGTTCAAATCAAAACTCTTGATATGTATCAGCTGGCCACCCACCTTCCTTTTTGAGGTGTCCCAGAGGTCACTACTGGCCCTTCTCCCTCTCGCCCTCCCCCTCCCTCTGCCTGAGATTCTGACATTATGTCCCGTACTGCTGGGGCCACAGCAGTCACAGGCCTTGGGAGTTCTCTTCCTGCCTGACGTACGGCCATTGAGTGGACCCTGAGCAGGGGTTGGTGTCTGTGTAGAGGACCAGGCTGATACTGGGCTTGAGTTAGAGGCAAGTGCTTTTGCTGGGGTTACAACAGGTGGCTCGGCATCAGCAGGAGTTGGAGTAGAGGGCTGGGTCAAGTCAGAGTTGGAGGTAAGGTCTGTGGTGAGGAGTTTGGCAGGGTTCTGGGTTAGGTCCTGATCTGTAGTATCTCCAGGAGGGGGCACTAGAGGAGCTGTTTGCAAAGGAGGTGCTGTAGTGCGAACAGTTAAATGAGGGGATGCTGATGGTGTTGTTTTCATTGGGGATGCAGAGCCGCTGTGAACCATGACGTCCTCCTTTGGCTCTTCAACCCCATCCCCAACACCCACTGTCCGCACCCCCGTCCTCTCCTCCCCTTTGGTCCTCTGAATTTCAGGTGTTGTGGTTTGTTCTTATCTTGGTTTTTATCTGGCCACTTCCCTCCAGAATCTGGACCTGTATGCTTCTGTAATGTTCTTTTGCTGTGCAGGGGAAAAAAGTTCTCAAGCCTTTCCCAACATAGAGGGTATTGACATGACAACACACTAGAACATGGCAGGGACTGAGTGTTCCTCAGTGAGGGGTAGACTCCATGTGCAAGAGAAACACCACCATGGTCACCTAATTAGAGCAACTGGGAAATAGAGGAGGAAACAGGGACAGAGAATAGGACACAATGAAACAAATATTAGCTATATAATTAAATCACTGCAATTTAAATGTGCAAGGCATTACTCAGAACTCACCCAGGGGTAAACACAAACACTTTCACATCAATAATGCAAGGAAAACACATGAGACCAAGCCCTGTTAGCAAGTTATTCAAAACAAGTTTATATTTTCAGATTATTATTAGGACTATAGGTCTGAATAGTATCTTCTATTTGCAGGTGAGATTTCAACGGTTGATGACACTGTCACTAGTCCACTTATCTACTGTAAGGACAGGCATGTTTGAATTAATACAATGTATATTATTTAAAATAAAATGTCAGTTTAATCAAATCCTCACTCTGCTGGAGATGATAGTCATTGACCGTATGAGACTTGGCCAGTCGAAGGACAGAAGTAGCAACTACAGTCATGATATCGTCAATTAACAGGTGGATCACTGTGCAGCGCACATTGCGATCAGTTTGTTTTAGCTTGCAACTAACTCACTTTTTGCACAAATATAGTACTTAACGGACATTTTGTGCTACCTCTCTTTTTAAAGTTACGTTAATGTCCCGTTTTCATAGAGGTGTTGTTTCGTTTAGAAAGAAAACACGGTTAGTTGACGTTAGCAACATAGCAGCGGCATTTAACATTTATTGAGCTGCAAATATTCAGTGTATGCAGATAAACGAATCGTTAGCAGTTTTCGGTCATTATCATTTTTGACACTGTCTGCTAGAATCCCCACAGTCAATTAAGTTACGAAGTTAAATAAAAACTGTTAGCTAAGGTGATCTAACACTTGGCATAGGGCTAACGTTACTGGCGCATGCATCACACATCATTTAACAATTTAACGTACATTCAGATAATTTAACTAAGTCAGGTATCACATTCACAAAGTTTTGCATAGCTTAGTTATTCCCCTGAAGCTAACCTTAGCTAAGTGAGCTAGCTCCAGCCAAAACACAGGCGAAAACACAAAGCAGCGACTGCACATATCCTCCATTTTCAGTAGGAAGTTGGAGGCGTATAAAGACCAAAAAGAAGCTGCACATCAGTATTTAAAGTAATATGCAGTACAAGCCAAAACCATGGCGAAAAAAGAAAAGAAACAACATTATACGATACCTTGTCTATGAATTAACAAACACTTTCATCTAACCACGATTTGAAGAAACAACACTCCAAGCTGTCGTCGCTTCTTGATTGCGTCACGACGTCGGGTCGAGCTCGTCCGGTGTCCATCAAGTGAGAGCATAGAGCTGTGGTCGGCAAAGGGCGGCCCGCGGGCCAGAACCGGTTCCGCAGCCAGATTGCTTTGATAGCAGAAAAATGACAGATACAGTTACTCACACAGACACTTAAGTGATTGTGGCTGCAAAATAAAAGCGCGAGAATTTTTATTGCAGCAATGCTTTATGTTGAGTTTATTGAAAGCTTTTACTTTGAAGAGTTCTGAAGGACATTCTAAAGAGTCTCTGGCTTGCTTGACACACCTCTGGGAAGAATGTACAGTATAAGGCGCTGCGGAGAGCCCCCAGTTGCAGTAGTGCATGGATCATATAAATAAAAAATACAAATAACGCGTCTGGCTTTCAGGTTACGTCCGGATACAGGATTACCAGGTTCATCATCTTGCCACACAATATCGCAGAAATGTTTCTAAAATTTGGATTTCACAAGAGACCACAAGAAAATCTACAGCAGTACACTTTCAATCAGTTTTAATTTTACAATTTTCTATGTGCTTTTATTGGCATGGCATGTAAATGAATCGATGTAGTCACGCAAATAAAGGTAAATAATGGATATAGAGAATGAAAGCAATGGGAATTCTAATTTATATAGCCTAATCTAAATATAATGCAAAATATAATACAAACTTGTATTATGATGGTAGTCTATTATCCTTGTTATCATTTCCAACCACTAGATCAGTGACACTACACACACTGTGTCTTGTTAATCTTTAATTACAAAAACAGGCAAATAATAAATATAACAAACAGTCAAAAAGTAATGGAAAGTACACAATTATAAACAGTAAAATGTCAAAAAAAAAAGGTTACATGGAGAGAATATTAACATGATTAACAACAATGATTGGTTGCTTGACACCAGTAGTTTCCTACCTTTTCAAAGTAATGTCTTGACTTATGTAAGACAAAGACATCTACCACAGTTATAGATATTAACTGTGTAATTAGGTGTACCATAATGCAAATTAACATTGCATAAAATGTATTAAACAAGTAACTTCAGACAGCTTAGAGTGAAAAATTAGCTTTTTTAAACAAGAGAACAAATTATATGTTTGAGCTTACTTAAAAGCTTCTGTACACCAACTCAGACCACAAAGACAATGCAGCAGATAATGCATTGAAATACACAATGTTGCTCTACATTTGTATTTGTACACAAGGTCAGTGCTATAGTATTCTCTACTTGCATGATCAAAAACAACAGGTATAATAAAGTCTCTTTACAAGTGTCACTTGATCCCAGAGATGTCAGGTAATCAGAAATGACCTTTTAAGTCCCAACACCAAACATATGCAGCCCTGCAAGGAGTCTTACTTTTCACATACATGTCTTGCAATGCACTAATGCCACAAGTAATTATTTGGAAAATACTGCAGTTTTAATAAAAAAAGGATATGCTGTCAAGACTAACAGCAAGGACTTAGTGCTTCTTAGACTGATACAGTTTATTTGTTGTTGTCCGTTTTGGGGTTTTTTTTGACAGTTTTTACAAGACAATTTTGAACAAAGTCCTAACCTTTGGATCAGCTGTTTGATTAATATTTGATTAATTGAATGATTAATGCTTTTTCCATTAGAGCAAGCTCACAACCTTCCTGATGTTTGAAAAGTGATTAAAGTGAAAGATTAACAACACAATCAGAGTAGGAAATATAAAAGAGAGTGATGATCTACTTTACACAGAGGAACTTTCTTTATTTTACAGTTTTATAATTTTTTTCTGCACTTTAACTGCAATGAAGCCATGTCGCACTGTGGAAGACAGTGGAGAAGTGGATGTTGATTAACATGACCATTGTGCAGTGGACGGTGAAAGCTGTGGGGTTTTGGCCTGGAACAGATAATTGGTAGGATTAAGTGGACAAAAGATGAAAAGTATTATCCTTTCATAGAAACATATTCTCAAAACATGACGAAAAATATATGCTATTTGTGTTACTGAAAAACCACTATTACCGATCAAAGTGTGCCATTGATAGCTGGAGTATGTATGGTCTTGGAGACTGCGGCGCCGTTGGTGCCCCCTGCTGTTAGCACCTGGAGCTGCAGCTGGTAAACACTGTCTGCCTGAAGACCATGAACTGACACCGACCGCTGGTACTGTGGAGGGTGAAGCAGGGTAAATTCGCAGACACACACACACACACTATTCGTCTTAAACAAATGTTTTACTTGAGCAGAAATAATCTGTTGAGAGGTAAAACAATAAGGCTTGTGATATATACTATATTTTTTCTTATTGTCAAAACCAACCATGTATGAGTCTGCCTCTTAAATTATCTGTCTTCCCAAGCTTGTTTATGGCTACGGAACTCTTAAAAAGTGGGTGACAATTGTAAACTTTATTTTAAAAATAGGCTTAATAATCTTCTACAAGAGCTGGGCACTGAACTTTTAAGCAAATTTCACTCAAACAGGAAGTAAATGCTGTGCCAAGATGTTTCTTTTCTTTTTGAACTACTTCACAGCCTTTATTAACTTTTTATCTTCTGAAGCTTTTTTGATTATTTGAATGTTGACAATGCCTCTTAATATATATTTAAGGAAAGAAAAAGGAACTTGATATAAAAATACTGACTCATCATCCTTACTAATAAAAAAGAAACACACACACACACACACACACACACACACACACACACACACACCTCTCATATTTCTAAGGCATTTCCCTTCTGCTGCTAGCACAGTGCAATGCTGTCACTCTCTTCATGTCTCACCGGTGCGATTGTCTGCGTCTGGGAGACAAGTGTGTCTTCCTGCCCTTCTGAAGCCATGGTAACCCCTGATTGCAGCGTCCAGGTGAACTGGAACCCCTCTACAGCTGCTGGATCCAGTGCATGCTGAGACATCCTCCAGCGAAGAGTAGTAAGCAAGGTGCCATTGACTTGCTGAAAGTCTGCTGTCAGTCGCTCTGGACGCAGTATCACCTTTCTGCCTGACAGGAGGCGCTCTGACACAAACAAAGGACAAAAAAAATTTCTTCACTTATGAAAGACTGAACACTTGGTGCTAAAATCTCCTGAACAATTATGTGATTTGATCATAATGGGAATTATTTTGGGTGCATTTACTAACTGTGTGCATATATAAATATGTGTTGTTCCCAAAAGAAAACAAAAGTTTTCAGACCAATTTTTTAAAGTAAGTGTTTAGGGGTTCCTGGTTCAATGAAGATCAACGCATTTGTGTGTGTGAGATTATGCCTTTAGTTACTCTTACCCTCAGTGTTACAGGGCAAAGCTTTGCCTCCTCTGACCCTGATGGAGGAGCAAGTTGGGGTCGTAACCCACGCAACAGCCTCTGAACCCGGGTCAGCCTTCATTACCACAGCGACTCTGTACTTACAGGCGAACAGCAGGCCAGTTATGGTGTGATGGGTGCCCTGGAGAGTGAAAAATAAGGTCAATTTAGGGATAAAAAAGAGTGCTTAAAGAGACATTATAGTGTAAATTGTACACAGCTGGTTTGTTAAAAGTGATGTATTACAAAGTTCCTTAAAATATACATATTACCTCTATTTTTGTTTGGAAACCTCTCTAATATAAGAAGCTTGTTAGTTGCATGTTAAAATAAACACCACAGTTTGGAGAAGCAGTTGGCAGCTTTGCAGGTTGGCAGTTTCAAATGGTGAGAAATGGCATAGCTGTTTATAAAAGGCTGAACTTCAATGAAATGAAATCATACTGTGTGACCTCAGCAAATTGCACACAGAACTTTGATATTTATCAGCCCACTGGGTCTGTGATCATTTTAGATGCAAGGTTACCTATAGGACAACAGTGGGTAAAGATACGGTATACAATCAATACAAGATTATCTTTTAAAGTACCTCTCTCTATTGCAGCTTCACTTTATGATTTGGATTTAAAATAGCTGCATTTTAAGAAGAATGTGTGGACAACTGTGGATTTAAAGTAGATGTTCTGTGCCTATTTTAAGTCTAATGACACATGGTCAGTAGTCATTGGTGAGATGATCCTGCAACTCACTTTTCTCATAGATTACTTTCAGCCAAACTATCCTACTTGGATATTTCAGCCAAGGATTTGACAGCGTTTGGTAAAAGTGATGTTAGTCAGAGACAGAGCAAGATGATGGCAGACACAAAGAAACACACGGACAGAGCATTCCAGACTGATCTGAGTTACTGTGATGAAATCTGATCACTGATATGCACATACACACAGTAACAATGCTCACATAGAAACAAGAGATGATAACATAATTTCATGAACACAGAGACACATAAAACGTAGCCAGGGTAGTTATACCAGCACAGTTGTTGTTTTCTCAGTGCTTGTAACATTAGTGCTGCAAGTATGTGGATGCCACCGCAAAATGTATGGACCAGGGTGTCGCTGTTTGCCTATAAAAGAAAAAAACAAAAGAGAGACAGACAAACACTAAATAAGTGGACATGTGTTTGTTTTTATCTGTGTCTCCCATAATACTTTCACAGAACCTAACACTACTACACTACTACTTTGAAACCTAAGACATATATGCTATGATACACAGTGATAAACTTTTTACTTTTCTTTACATTTTACATTTCTCTTCTCTCAGATGAGAAAAAAATCAGAATAAGGAATTAAGGGAATGTGTCATTTATCTTCATCCTGCCTACAGTATGTGTCTCACTGTTCATGTGGCTGCGTACCTGCTTACTTCATGTCCAGCCAAGCAAGTTTGTGTCTTATTTTTCTATCTAATGTGCATAAAGTAACAGTATATACATCTCCATCTAGTTTAAACTTGGATTAATATTATGTGTGTGGTGTCAAAGGTTTAGGAGCTTAGAGAGTAAGTCATCACAAAACCAAAATCTGTTTAAAAGCTGACATTTTCTAGGAAAAAAGACCATCATTTCTTTATAAATAATCAATAATCATTTATGTAGAAATAGTTTTAGCGTAGATTTCTCTCTGAAGATTATTACTTTAAGCAAATCTGCATCTCAAGCATCACAAGCAGGATTGTGTATTTTATATGAAATAATTAAGTATTGTTAACCCCAT